GCTCAAAAATTTTAAAAATGAGGAAGATACAAGGATGTAAGTAAGTGCTAGCGCACCCTCAGGCTTGATTCTCAATACCATTAAAAAAAAAAAGTTTGAAAATGTGAATTAAAACACCAAAAGTTTTCATTTATAGGAATGTTCATGATATATATATTTTTTAAATTTTATTTTGAAGAAAAAAAGTAAAACAATTTCAAAACAAGATAATAGGAGAATAACAATGGTTAATACGTTGCATATTATTATCTTTAAATTAGTTACTCAGAACTAGGGATAGCTCAGTGGCCCAAGCACCTGCCTGGCAAGCACAAGGTCCTGAGTTCAATTCCAGTACCAAAAAAAAAATTAGTTACTCAGAGTATAAGGTATATGCATTTAATTGTCCAAACAATATTAGCACAAGCCTTTCTTTTCAGTGAACTGAAATTAGTAGCATAATGATCTTAACTCTCTTTTTGGGGGGGGGGTTGTCTTTTTGAGACAGGGTCTCGATATACAGTTCAGGCTGGCCTTGAACTCACTTTGTAGCCCAGGCTTGTCTTGAATTTGTGATGATTCTCCCACCTCAGCCTTCCAAGTGCTGGGATCACAGCAGTGCACCACCACTCCCAGTGATCTTAACTATCTTGTCGTGATACCTTATTTGCGTATAAGCCAATCTATGAAGAAAAAAAGAAACCAAGCAAGCAAACTACCTTGGTCATACGTACTTATGAGAAGAATGACACCCTCCTCAGGAGCCTCAGGCAGGTCCTTCAGGAGTTATTCCAGAACGCATTATCCTAGATGACAGGGTTGTGCATGTTACTGCCCCTGAAAACCTCCCAGTGGGATAAGCTGTGGAGATGGAAGATGATGTTGTTGATCTTGATCTTATATAGACCTAGCCTTTTTTTATTTGAAGTAAAAGGGATTGAACACAGGGCCTTTGTACATGTTAGGCAAGTTTTCTACCACTGTGCTATACACACAGCCCGGATATGTGTTTGTGTCTTAATTTACCAAGTTAGAAAGGGAAATATGAAGTAAAGAAAGAATTTTTATACAGTTGTGTAATGTGTTTGTGTTTTGTTACTACAAAAAAGCCAAAATGATTTTTTAAATTAAAAGTTTATTTTTAAAGGAGGAGAGGTTTAATTTGGCTATAATTAAAATTTTAGTAGGTAAAAGTATTATCATAAATTAAGGTAAATTTATTATTGATGAAAGAAAAGACCTTTTTTTTTCGTCTTTTTGAGACAGAGTCTTGCTACAGTTCAGGCTGGCCTTGAGCTCACTTTGTAGCACAGGCTGTCTTTGAACTTGCAATGATTCTCCTGCCTCAGCCTCCCAAGTGTTGGGATTACAGGGGTGCGCCACCACGCCTGGCAAAAACATTTCTTTGTGTCTTGTTCTGTAATTCAGGCTGGCCTTGAACTCACTATGTAGCCCACTCTGGCCTTCAACTCACCCTCCTGCTTCAGCCTCCCAAGTGTTGGGATTACAAGGATGAGCCACTACACCCAGCGTTGAAAGAATTTTTAAAATAAATTTAGCCTAAATGTACGGTGTTTATAAAGTCCATAGTGCATAAAGTGTCCTAGGCCTTCACATTTATTCATCATGTTTACTCACTAGCTCCAGTCCTGCAAGCTCATTCATTGTAAGTGCCCTATTTGGATATACCATTTTTGTCTTTTATGCCATATTTTTACTGTACTTTTTCTATGTTTAGATATCCAAAGATCATTGTGTTACATTTACCTGTAGTATTCAGTACTGTGACATGATTTGTAACCTAGTAGCACTAGCTATACCATGTAGCCTATGTGTATAGTAGAATATACCATCTAGATTTGTTTTAAGTGTAACTTTGATATTGAACATATCCCACTGGCATAAGTGGAAGGGACACTCAGTGTGACTCTACCTGGAATATGGGTTGTTAAAGGCCAAGTTCTGCTTCTGAAAAGGAAAGACCCCCTGTCCCAACTCTGTAATTGCCATTAATAATGGCAGGATTGGGGGCAGAATCTGTAAAGAGTAGGTAATATTGAGTGAGGGTAGTCAGCTTTTGAAGGAGAGGGTGGAGAAGATCTCTTTATAGTAGTGTTTTTGAGCTGTTGAGTTAGCTTTGTGTGTATGTGTGTGGTTTGTCTTTTGATTTGTTTTGTTTTCAGGGGGTTGTTTGTTTGTTTGGTTTTTTGAGTCAGGGTCTTGCTATGTAGTTCAGGCTAGCCTTGAACTCATTGTGTAGCCCAAGCTGGCCTCCACTCATGGCAGTCCTTCTGCCTCAGTCTCTTGAATGCTAGGATTACAGGCATGCACCACCACACCCAGTGTGGTTTCTGTTGTTATTTGTTTGTTTGTTTTTGACAAGGTCTCGCTATGTAGTTCAGCACCCTCAGAGTCACTGTGGACCCCAGGCTCACCTCGAATTCACTGTGAAGCCCTGATTGGCCTCAAATTCAGGGCAATAATGTACTTTTGCTTCAACCTCCTGAGTGCTAGGATTAAAGGCGTGTGCCACCATACCTGGCATCACACCCAATTTGAAATAGCTGACTTTGAAACTCTTTTTCAGAGGTAATATAGGGTAATAAAAGCCATTTCTGGTTTGCTTTTGTCTACAAGTAATGCACTCTGATAAATTCTTTTGATCAGGAAGTACAGTAATTCAACACATCTCTTTAGTTTCCCTCCAGCATTACTCAACCACCCCACAATTTGTAACGCTTAGTTTGAGAAAGAAGGCACTAAACCACTGATCACTATCTGAGTGTCCTACAAGCATCAAACTTCTCCTTCCTGGCCTGTTTCTCCTACATTTTTCCTAATGATTGGCACCATTGGTGCAGACACTAGGGCAGGAAACATTATCCATCTTGGATTCCTTACTTTTTTCTTACCTTTCTATCTTGGCAGTTGTTGGGTACTCTATGCCCCTGTCACTGGGGTCACCTCTACATAGCTATGTGTGGGTTCTTCTCAGCGTAATCTCAGGAACAGTACCATATTAATTGTCTGGCTTTTAACCTTGTAAAGTCTCAGACTCCTTAAAGGGAATAATATGGAGTTTGTTAGGGGGGCAGTGGTTGGTACTGGGAATCAGACTCAGGACCTTGCACTTGCCAGGTAGGCACTTGTACCGCTGAGGTGTATCCCCAGCTCTAAAGTGAATGTATGGATAACACTATTTTTAAGGTTGTTTTAGCAAAGGTTCAGTGAAATACTGGATGTCAGAAAACATTTTGTAAATGAGGCATGGTTGGGCATGCCTCTAGTCCCAGAACACTTGAGAAGCTGAGGCAAGAGGGTCCAAGTTCAGTCCCATGCAGGACAATTTAGCAATTTAGTGAGACTCTTGTCTCCAAAGAGCAGGGGGAAAAAAGGGCTAGAAATGTAGTTCAGTGCAGAGGCCCTGGTTCAATTCCACTACCAAACAAAACCAAAACAAAAACCCACTTTATAGATTGTAAAGATATTACTACTTCAAGAACTGTTGAGCCAGGCTTGGTGGCACACGCCTGTAACCCCAGCACTCGGGAGTTTGAGGCAGGAGGATTGTTGTGAGTTCAAGGCCAGCCTGAACCGCATAGTGAGACCCTATCTCAAAAAGACAACCAAAAAAAGCTATTGAAACTAATCTGTTCTGTAGGATCTCCTATGACTACTGGTTCTGCTGCATCAGTGTTTTTTGGTTTTGTATTTATTTATTTTTGGTGGGCTTTTTTTCTTTCCTTTTCTTTTCTTTTTTTTTTTTTTTTTTTTTGGTTGCTGGGAATCAAACTCAAAATCTTGCATTTGCCAGGCAGGCACTGTGCCGCTGAACTATATCCCCACCCTTATTTTTGTTTTTTTGAGACAGGGTCTCACAATGTAGTTCATGCTGTCCTTGCACTCACTGTGTAGCCCGGGCTGGCCTCCAATTTACAGTGATCCTCCTGCCTCAGCTTCCCAAGTGCTAGGATTACAGGTATGCACCATGTCCAGCTTGTAAAACATTTTCTATGTGGTACACAGCACATAGTAAATATTCACCTAATAGCTGTTAGGCACTTGGTAAACAATGATAGCTGACAACTAGTAGTGTTTTCACTTTGTAAGCAAATAAAGTCACTCCTGATAACTAATAACTGTTAGTTATTTAATAAACAAAGTGTTTTCTAGCCGGGGATATAGCTTAGCGGCACAAAGGCCTGCCTGGCAAGTGCAAGGTCCTGAGTTCGATTCCTGGTACCAAAAAAAAAAAAAATCAACAAAGTGTTTTCTGTATGTCAGGACCAATAGTAACTATAAAGATAAATCAATTGGTCTTTGTCTTTGAAACTAGAAACATTATGACAATAGAAACATTAAACATTTTTTGATGGCACTGGGAGCTGAACTCAGCCTTGAGCCTGCTAAGTAAGTGCTCTGCCACTTAGCTACAAGCTCAGCCACTGAGCTACATCCCCAGCCTGCTAGAAAAGCATGTTATGGTCTGGTCAGGTCTTCTCTTATCTTTTCATTTCTGTTTCCTTTTTTTTTTTTCCTCTCTCTTTTTGAGACAGGGTTTCTTTTCTTTTCTTTTTTTTTCCTGTAATCAACTCACAACCTCGCGCTTGCCAGGCAGGCACTGTGCCACTGAGCTAAATCCCCAGCCCCAACAGGGTTTCACTATGCAGTTCAAGCTGGCTTTACTTTGTAGCCTAGGCTCGCCTCAAACTCACAGCAACCCTCCTGCCTCAGCCTCCCAAGTGCTGGGATTACAGGCCACCATGCCTGGCAAGAAGCATATTATGAGCATTTGTCTTAGGAGTTAGGCGTACCACAGTTACTCATTAATTTTCAACACATGTTTGAGTTTCACTATGTGCCAGGGATTGTTCTAGGTCTAAAAATACAATGGTGAATGAAACAGACAAAAAGCTATCTTTTTGTGAAATCTCAATTTGTATTCTAGTAGATAATTGAGTGAAATAAACCAAATGGAAACTGGCAGATGAACTGTAGAGACCCATTTCCTATTTACTGAGTTCCAGCCATTGTTGCCATGGGAGAATGTGGGTCTAGTGTTGCTTTACTGCATAATTTCTCATTCCTTGCTACAATCCCTCTCTGTCACCACACTCCTCTGTTTTGAAGCTAGAAATCTAAAGCTGGGTGTGGTGGTGCATGCCTATATTCTTTGAGGCCAGCCTGGGCTACATAGTAGTAAGCTCATGCCCAGCCTAAAATATATAGTGAGACCCCATCTCAGAAAACAGAGTAACAGGGTTGGAGATATGGCTCAGTGGTAGGGCTCTTGCCTTGCATGTATAAGGCCCTGAGTTTGATCCCCAGCACCACACACACACACACACACACACAAACACACACATACACACACACACACAGAATAACAAAAAATAGAAGTCTGGATTTTAGGCTGGGTTTGTAGCTCAGTGGTAGAGTGCTTGCTTAGCATATGCAAGGACCTGGATTTGATGGGGAGAGAGTCTCTGGATTTTAACTAGATGTGAGTATTAACTGAGCTTTGTGTTACGAGTTGAACTTTTTTTTTCTTTGCTTTCTCTACTGGGGACTGAACTCTAAGAGAGATTGAACCAGAGCCTTGCTTATTCTCAGGAAGCACTCCATCACTGAGCTACATCCTCAGGCCTTTGTTTTGTTTTGTTTTAATTAAGTTTATTGGTACATTTTAGATATATATAATGATAACATTCATCATAGGGAATTTGTACACGTACATGATTTGTACATGCTTTTCTTCTCCCATTCCCCTCCCCTCTCCCTTCAACCTCTCTTCCCCTCCCTATTTACAAAAGCTTTGTTTCCATTTTTTCCTTCCTTTCTCATTTTTTTCCATTTCTCTT